ACTCTACTGAAGCTCTGTTCTTCAACCTTATCGGCGACCTGGGATTATTTGAAAATGTGAAGTCGGCAACCCGTTGGGGAAACAGTCAGACGCCGTCACGCTTAGACTGGGTATTCGCAAACGAAGAATTCCTAGTTGATGACCTCTTAATCCTGGCTCCCCTGGGGAAAAGTGATCACGCCGTCTTATCATTCAGCTTTGTCAGCAAGACGGAGCTACGATATCCTACTAGCAACAAGCGCTGGAACTTCAAACGGTTGAATGTGTTAGCTTTACAGGACTATCTTCAACAGGTGGATTGGGATGTTCACCCTCAAATTGAAGTGGATGCTCATTGGGATTTTTTACTGCACACAATCTTATGTGCTACTGAGCATTCAGTTCCTAAAATTGTCCCAAAAAGCTACAAGCAACCTGCAATCATCAAGAACCTCACTCGTCGTTTGCTAAGCCGCAAAAGGCACTGTTGGGCTGAATATAAACGAACTGATAACAACGGCGCGTACAGGCAATACAAACATATAAGGAACATATGCACAAAGGCAATAAGAGAAGACAGGCTTCAGTTCCAGACCAAGCTTATCGATAGATTTGTCTCCAATCCGAAAAGCTTGTTCAGTTATGCAGCTTCTCTTCGATAAGGCAAAACTGGAGTTTCTCAACTGCTTGGTCCTAATGGCCCGACCAACAACGACAGTGATGCCGCTAACCTTTTGGCTGAACATTACTCCCGGACATTCCAGCTGACCCACATCAACCATACTGACGAAAGCTTCACCTGCACCTGTACAGGACTTTCCGAAGTGGACCTGAGTGCTGACTTGGTGCTCCGTAAACTGCAGAACCTAAAAAAAGACACTTCTCCTGGTCCGGACATGGTTCATTCCGCTGTATTGAGGGAAGCAGCTTCAATCCTGGCGACACCACTTAGCGTGATGTTTGCACACTCTCTAAGCAGAGGCAAACTACCGGAAATATGGAAGCTGGCCCACATCACACCAATTTTCAAAGGAGGTCGACGCAGTGAACCCTCAAGCTACCGACCAGTGGCCCTTCTCTCCATACCTTCAAAAATTATGGAATCCCTAGTATTCGACGACATACTAGAACACTTATCATCCTCAAAGTTCTTCTCGCCCCAACAGCATGGTTTCAGAAAAGGTCATTCTTGTATGACCAAACTGCTGACTGCGGTGGATAGATGGACAACCATCCTTGATCGCAAGGGGAAGGTTGACGTCATCTACTTGGACTTCTCAAAAGCTTTTGATAGGGTCAACCATGCATGTCTTATCAAGAAGCTTGGACGATTGGGTATAAAACCCCCTTTAATTGACTGGATCACTTCATACCTAGAAAACCGACAGTTTAAGGTCAGGGTTAACTTCACTCTCTCTCAGGCTATGGAATGTCCTAGTGGGGTCCCCCAGGGTTCAATACTAGGACTTCTTCTCTTCTTGATTTATATTAACGATCTTCCTCAACAAGTTTCATCTGATTTATTGCTTTTTGCTGATGATGTGAAACTTTGGAGAGAGATACGTACTCACAATGATATACTAGTTCTTCAGGAGGATCTGACTCGACTTCAAAGTTGGGCAGACGACAATGGACTTACCTTCAACACTTCAAAGTGCAAGGTAGTCCATCTGAGACATGTTGCAGACTATAGTTATAACTTAGGTAACTCACCTCTAGAAGTTTCCCAAGTTGAGAAAGATTTAGGAGTGTTGGTACCCTACGACCTGAAATCGTATGCGAACTGTGACAAAAACGCCTCTCAAGCAAACCTTACACTGGTAACATTGAAGCACATTTTTGGCCAGTTTGACGGTAGAACCTTCCACATAATCTTCAACAGTTTTATTCGTCCCCACTTAGAGTACGGAAACATAGTATTTCCTTCCTCCCTCCAAAAGGATAAGGTCACTCTGGAACGTATACAACGTCGAGCCGTGAAATCAGTTCGGGGTCTCAAATTCAAACCTTATGAAGAGCGCCTCAAATCACTTAAGCTTAGTCATAACACTAACCTCAGAGGTAACACCCAGAAATTGGAGACCCTACATAGCAGAACAGACTGCAGACACAACTTCTACTCCGTTAGAGTTGTCAAGTGCTGGAATTCGCTGCCGACTGAGCTAGTCCAAGCGACTTCTCAGGAGTCCTTTAAGAGAAAACTTGACTTATTCTTAAGGACTAAGGATAACATATTATTATGATTTACCAAATTCTTTTTTTTCCTCTATTATCGTTCATATACCTAGGTTCTTGCCTGGAGGTATTGGTGATCCACTGCTACCAGACACGGAAGCCCGTTAAGCGAAAGCTTCTTCTATTCCGTCCTCAACCATTTGAACCATTTGATTGGCAAAGCGTAGAACATTGGATTTCGAAGCACTGTGAATACGCCGGGTCATGTGAGAATGAACGATACGGATGAAATAGATTTTCTTAATTATGTTTCTTCCGGACAGTGTGAGAGACCTCGTGAGCCCGTTTTGATAAAAGGCTGTGGAGATGTAACAATGTAAGTCAGCTTTTCGGGACGTTCAGCATTTGTAGTAGTGAGTGACTAACCCCAAAATTAAAGTTTCTTTTACCTGGCTGGTAAAGCTTCCTTGGTTTAATCTAAATGTTATTCCCTTTAGCTGTAAAATTTCAGACACTCAGGATTTTTTTCACATTCAGAGTGAACACTTATCTTGCTTGATTGTTGGAGTGTCTATTTTTCGAAATAATGGTAATAATAAGTTAATTCTAAGCATGTATAGTTGTAAATATTTTCAGAAAGCCTTACAAGTATAGTAAGCAATCAACTCCTGCACGTTTCTAGAAAACCTCGATCATCAGGTCTGGTCTTCCTCTCACAAATCTTATCAAACTATTCAGTCTTGACAGTGTTATCAGTTCTAGATCTGAATTTCGTAGTGTCCTAACAGGCATACGGCAGTAAATAACTAGAAAAAAAAACGGCACGTCGTGAAAAATAGATTGGGAGTTTTAAAGGCAATTTAACAAGCGTCACCACACTGGCGCCTTGAGCAAAGACTTGTTTGTCTCTAAAATTAACAAGTAATAAAACCTATACGAATGAACTGGTTGTATATTTACTCTCACCCACCACTTGACCTAATGGAATGTTCTTAATAGCTGCTGCCACTGGTTTGAGAAGGATCTGACGGTAATCTGAGTCTGACGAAAATTCTCTTACCCCCACAACGTCACGTATCATCGAGCACTTCTGATCGTTAGCATCAGGCGATTAGAGGTCTGTAAATTTGGTGATAATCTTCCCCAAAACTTTAATTACTATTCTTCTGTAAATCAGTTTATGTATTTTCAACATGTTGGTCAAGCTGACATTTTAGTGTGTTTTTACATAGGTATCGTCGTACGTTCTTTTTTGACCCATTAGTAGATTTTACCAGTTGCTGGATAAAAGTCAACGAAATATAAATTATCTGCGTTATCAAAGTTAGAGAATTCGGCACTGAATTCGTGAGCAAAAGTGCAAATTTTATCAGTAAATCAGTTACCTTCTAGTAGATCAAAGTTACCGCTTGTCATAAAAATATTGAGTGAAATTACCAATGAGAAACTCCTGGAAATGAGAATTCTGAGGCGAAGCAATTGTAGTTAGTATCATACAAAATATATATAATTTAATCCACCCGTTTTGCCAAGCTTGACTGATCTTACTAAAAATATCTGTTTTCTGCGAATTCCTTCTCGAAGTTGTATAATCTGAAATATTTATTTGCCCCCCCCCCGAATGCCCTAGTATGACCGAAAGTGGGAAGAGTCCGCTCCCCCTCTCGAAATGCTCTCACATGGCCACGTGTATATGGCCGCTACAGGGAAGTCCTACTCACTGTCTTCTCGTGCCACGGCTGTTGTTTATGAAATTGAGAGGACGAAAAGCGAATGTCCGGCGCTTTAACCGGGTTGGTGGGTACGGAAGATTCACCTAGAGAAGTTGGAAAACCCTGATTCCAAACCACTGGTGCACATGGGATCCAGTATCCTGAAGGAACAAATGGCGTATGAATGAATCGTCTGTCACCGGCTACCATGGGACAGCATCTCCTTACGATGCTCCACTGCCTTGTGGATCAGACCTTTAGGTCAAAGGCTCGGGGTGTGGCTCTCTAAGAGAACCACCTGCTTCAGTTTGGGCACCTGGGCAGTATCACAGCCCTCACACAAATCGAATGAGATTTGTGGGGGTGCATATATATCTGGTGCCCCTTTGTACCAATTTTTATATGTTTTAGTAAAGAAATACATATTTCCACACAATGATTAGGTCCAGATAACCATTCAGTTCTTGGTCATGTTGCTAGCCAATGTCTATTTACGTCAGTTAAAAGCCGTATTTGCTAGAGCTTGATGTTCAAACACACTTATTTTGCTGAAGTATGTACATGCTATTAAAGCTTCTTAATTAACAATCGTAGCTAATAATTAAAACAGATGACCTATTAATAGTATTGATTGAGCTAGTGAGTTACGAGTTACTAATCAGTATTACAATACGATAATACACGTCAGCACTTATCAAAGGATTAATAGAATAATGGGCTAAGATAAGTGAAAATCGATCGAGAAAGTTAAAGTGAAAATGCGGATTAATAATAGGTTGCATTTCTTTAGCCGGGCTTACTAATATAGAATTATGATCCACGTCGTTATTAGTACTGCTATAATAATAGACCTAATCCTAAAATTGTAGATATGTCATGATGTGACTACCTAATCTATAAGATCTTACGTGGAAGTCACATCATTACATACACTGACTCGTCCTATCGTAAGAATCACCAATATATGATGGAGAACACATTATCAACACTCCTTCAATAACATCTTCAAACCCTAATCTTTCACATAATGCTTATACTCTTACTACTTCTACCACTATGAGATTTGAATCGACAACTGCATCTCTGTGTTAATGTAGTATGGCAACTCGAACTGATGTACGTACGTACGAAGTTCTACGTTGTGACTGACTGACTGATTTAATATGGATAAAAGTGTTAAGTTACACAATAATGATCACGCCTGCAAGGCTGAGCCATGCCATCCGGTCGATTAAATTCAGAATGAATGTTCCCGCGTTCACCATTATTCACCTTCTCTTAGTGTTACATGTGGAAAGTCTATTTTCCCAGTTATCTGATGTTCAGTTTTGAGGATTGTGTGGTTGGGGCCCATTGCCACTACACTACTCTCCCACCCCCGGGCCCTCTCGCATGCCACTGCAAACATTCTACGACATTGTAACAAGAGTTCAGAGGGATAAAAACAGGTGATTACATAATGACTAAAACTTAGTTAATAAAATAATATTACTAATTCAGAAGACAGTCGAAATGAAAAGATTCAATGACGTAATTAAATGAAGTAAATAATTGAAAAAATATTTTTTAGGATGCAATGAAGGAATATTTGTCATCAAGGCAAGAAAAGATTAGTGAAAATTCTTTGAACACAAAAATATGGTCTTAGACGCCTGACGGCATCGGCTTCAGAAAACTGGGACTTGACTGTCTATTAATCACCTTGAAAGATTGCAAGTTTTCGTCCTGATGTCCTGTATCCAAGAGGTGTTTGGTGATCACACTGCTTAAATTCGTTCTTTTTCTTGTTCTAAGGCTTGTTGGAACATGTTCGAAATAGGCATAGACTACCTGGTTGGGGCCTGTGTGATTATCGTAACCATTAGTCAGAGATTTCGGATGGCATGCCTAAAAATCGTTTGGAACAACACAGGTGCACCCCTTCTTTGTCTTCCACCAAATTCTGAATTCCTAACAACATTTGATGCCAATCACCGCTGGTACTGGTACTACCTATACTATTATGGGATTTGACCTGAAAGTTTTCCCTCTGACAAACTAAACTGGTGTATATACATACCAGGTTCTACATTGTAACTGACTAACTGTACATCATCATTGTTTGGCCTGAAAAGTTCTACAACTTTTGAAAATGTTTAAAATAACAAATTTAGTCAAGTCTCACAAATGAGGTGAAGAACAGTATACGAATAAGGATTTCCTTATGTAAGTTACCAGGGAATTTATAATGTTGTGTACTGAAATCAGTGTAGTTAAAGTGGTATTAACTTCCTTTTGTTCTCACAATAATGCTGTTGTTCAACTTCCAAAGTGTGTAAAATTCAACGGATTTTTTTGCAAGAATTGAGCTTAACAACTTAATTCTACAATTTTATACAGCGTCCCAAAAATCTCTAGGTCTTGATTAAACTCATGCAAAAGATTTTATTCATTGTTTTTTAGATTTTAAAAATGAGTAAGGCCTGACAAGAATCAACTCATCAATAGGCACTAATATTGAGTCTTTACTTACCTCTTATTACTCACAAAATATTTTGTGTATAGTGTTGTTATTGAGCGAAGTTAATGATTACTAATTAGTAAATAGAACCATCTTATCTTTTTATCTGTGTAGCTTCCCAACATGCACTTTTATTGTCACTATTTTTGTTTGTGGAAGCCAAGTCCGCGTTTTTACTTTATATTTTTTACTGATATTACAATAAGTCGGGGGTTTAAAATTAGGAATTTACCTATATAATGTAGTTTGTAATGTAAATCTGTTATTCGGTAGTTTAAATATTCTTTTTAGTCAGTTTCAACAGAGATTCACTTATCGAAGGTGTAAGAATCAAAATATATATATGGTTCAAAACTTTCTTGATAAATCTAAGATAATTTATTTACTCATAACATTCACATATAAAGTTAAATCATGCATTTCACTTTTTTTAATTAAAATAATGTTAGCTTTGGTATGAACAATAAATTCAAGGAAGAATTCCCAAATGAATTACATGGTAAACTAGCTCCTGAAGAATTTGAGGAAAGTATACGTAAAATTAATGAGCGCTTGGAGAATTCACTACCTAGTCACGTTAGATGGTTTATTTGTGGGTTATTGTGTTGTTGTTGTACAGCCGGTTGCTCTTTATGGCCAGTAATTCATTTAAGCAGACGAACCAAAAGAGATCTACAAAAAATACTGGAAGCTGAAAATATTCGACTGTATTGTAATATTGGTTTACGCTTGTCTTTGGTCAAACAACGGTCTTCCGAAACAACAACACTGATGGAATACGTATGTTTTCAAAACTTGTTTTGTTTTAACCGTGAATTATGTATGATGTATTGTATTCGTGAAATAAACTTTATATCAAAGTGTAAACAGTAACACAGTTGTTTAGCGTGTAACGGATTCAAACAGACCACGTGCTAATAATTCAGTTAATAAATCTCAGTATTTTTTGTATTTAAACTTTAGTTGGATTATCAAAAGTGTAACTTAAACTTTAGAAAGAAGTAGTTAACATTTTAAGTTATGAAATTTTTGTAGTCGACTCTCGGTTCATATAACACTGATAGTGATATGAAATAACTTTCATAATTCTCAATCATACTGTTTAGTTTTCAATCATTGTACCTTTTTTAATATTTCACTTGAATATGTTCATTCTCAACTTTTTCCATTAGGTTCTTCGAATAGATCAATTGCCAAAAGCGTGTATATATTTTCCCGATTGAATTTTTCACCGAATTGAAATAAAAAACGGGCATCATTATTTCTGAGGAATTTGTACTTTTCATTCCAATTTCCATGAAAAATGTCCAGTAATTTGATTTTTCTAGTGATATATCTTCCTTATTTTCATCCTAAAATGCTGAGTTTTCCCCCAAAAATGTTAGTAGTCCTATGTTCAGCTGATTATCATAAACAATATCTTATTGAACCGTTCAAATGTATACACGAATTCAATAACACTGTTTAAACTGTAGGTTTTAACTAGCGTAGTAGATCTGAATAGTTTGTTGTGAAACATACTGTTCGCTATCCATTCGGATTTATCATTTATATATATATATACTGCAAACTTATAGAAACCGTCCAAGCAAAATACCATCAGGACAACTGACAATTCCAAACACCAGTTCCATGATATATATATATATATATATATATATATATATATATATATATATATATATATAATGCAATGTTTCATTCTTCAATAGTTGTATTATTTCAGTTTCATTATTTTTGTACATGTGCCATTTATTTTTCTATTATGGTATTAAAACAAATACTCTCAATAGTATTTAATGATAGTAAGTTCAATTTTCAATTCCTCTTTTCCTATTCTTATTTATGATCATTGGGACATTGTTGTCTTTTTTTGAGGCAATACAAACATTTCCTTCACTTTCTCTAGTTTCCTATACTACATTTTACTACTTTTCATTACATCACATGCATTTCTATGTGGCTTTGGATATGTTGTAGAATATGACAAGATTTATCATTCATCCGAATACTGTTGAATAATATCCTAGCCGTATACTATTTAACCAAAACATCATTTCCCAAGTGGTTTACATTTCAGTTTTTCATCCTTAATCCAATCTGTTTACTTTTTCTTTAGGAAAGAAGTCACGTTTAGTTTTGCATCCTCCAATTGTTTATAGTTTCATGTAAAATCTATATTCATTTGTATTGATTTACGTGTTTTCAATATACACATGCAAACCACTTATTTATTAATTGTATTATTACTTTTTATGTTATTTTTATGATTTAATAACAAATTTTCATGAGTAACAGTTGTATTGATAACAGTAATGATATTTTAGAATTATTCACTTCCTTGTAAATAAACCCTACTGTACATCAATAATATCAAAAGTATTACCTTATACTAAGTAAATCTTTTTATTTCTTCCTGTAAGAGAATTGGTGTCAGCTTCCTATTTACACTACTATTTGTTAAGTTGATATATATGGTGGTAGTGGATAAATTACTTAGTCAAGCATATCTTTTAATTTATCTTGATAGTAGCCATCCATTACCTGCTTGGGGTCTGTATGCTTATCATAACCAGTGATTAAACACATTGATGATAACATGACCGGCGCTTCAACCGGGTTAGTGGACACGGAGAGTCCACTTAGAGGATTTGGGAAACTCTGATTCTAAACCATTGGTGCATATGGACTCCAATATCCTGAAGGAACAAATGGCGTATGAACCAATTGTTGGTCACCGGCTACCATGGAACTACATCTCCTTGCGCTGCTCCACTGCCTTGTGGAGTAGACCATTAGGTCAAAGGCTCGGGGTGTGGCCCTCTAAGAGAACCATCTGCTTCAGTTTGGGCACCCGAGCAGTATCACAGCCCTCACACAAATCGAGTTATTTATGTGGCGTATATAAATTTGGTGCCTCCTTGTACCAATGTTTATGTGTTTAAATAAAATAAAATAAATGATAACATGGATCAGAATCAGTTACACTAGTTTAGATGCGTTCACTGTCATTACTTAGATCCAAGGCTACAAAATTATCCTCCATAAATTTTTTATTCCTCTAATTCATATTTTCTCGAGTCATGCCCTATATGGCTAATCTTTTTTATTACCTGTAGTACCATTACTAAATATACTGTTTCAACGTCTCGCTCTGCTGATGTGATGTAGAAAATTTAACCGATTCACATATGTGTCAGATTCTATGTTGCATATGACTGACTAACTGAATTTATCTTGTTGTTGGACCAGCTAATGTACATAATTCACCCTTTTCTCAATTATCTTAGGTTCATTACATGAAGTTGTAATTTTGCTAATTAATTCTCCGCGAACAGACTGGTTTTTGTCTTCTAATATTCCAAAGACTTTAATAAGAGACGGGTAACTGAGTAGACAATCGTATTCGTGTTGTCTAACTCAAGTTCTCCGATATAGTCTTGTCATCAAAGTCAATCACACTACTACTCATGATTGCTTTGAAATCAGATTTTATTAAGAATCATGTTAGTAGACTGTGGGATATATTTTCCATGAGGGACAATTATCGCAGTGTATTGATGAAACACTACGTAACAACACTAACAATGTTTGTAAGACATATCTGAATAGCATAAACGCTTAGCGATTATTCCACTCATCATTATCTACTGCATATCGACTATCAAACCAAGGCATTTCGAATTCAAGCTTGATTACTGAGTTGGCTGGTTACTTCATAAATTAGTTATATTTGAAATCAGGTAAAACTTGCATATATGCTTTATTCATTGTGACTGACTGTCTATGTTCATGGTATTTTGATTCTGTTATTTATCCTGGAATGATGTTTAGATATTTAAAAGATTTTTTTTAGAATATAGTTACAACACTATAAAGTATTTCTCAGCTTGGATTACCAATATTTTTGTATAAAGATTACTGAAAATAAATGTTTATTGATATACAATCATTTGATTTGACTTTTTCTGTCATAAAATTCTACGGATCGATACCGTTTCAGACAAGTGCCTATATATGAATTATAATTTTCACATCTTTCTGTAACTATTATACGAACAAACTTTGTAATAACACAGAATGGTTGATTTTATGGTTATCTCTCGCATAAAAGTTGCAATACCCGTAAAATATATCAAGAACACAAAATAAAGTATGTTAATGGAATATATATTGGATTAAAGCATGTTCCGTTCAGGATTGTGTGAAGCACGCTGATTGGCTATTTCGTAATCAATCAGCGGCGGTGGATACTTGGAGAAGATTCTAGAATATTATTGTGTAAAAATTATAGATACACTAACATTTTTTTTATTGTGATTCCTATTTCCATCCAACCTTGTTATCCGGAATATAATTACGTTCCTGTTCAACCGTGTTTTGATTCGGGGACTTTTCGAGTGAAGTAATGTCCAAGAATACTAAGCGACAATAGTAGCTAGGTCGTTATAAGAGAGTTCAGAACGTTTCAAATTTTTAAATAAATTATCTTCGTCTAGATGGAACTTTGATAACAAACATTCGGACTACGTACTCGCGTAACCACTGTTATTACTCTTTATATTTTAAAGAGAAAAAACACTTCATTCAAGTGCAACTCAACTTTTATTTTACATGACTTCAAATATCTTATTTTAATATCGTTTCTATACGCCTTTTCGATGAAGCTGAACTGTAACACCGAGACAATGGCCTATGTGTGACGACTTCATGGTCACAGCTCATTTGCTAAAATAGGGTTGGGAGTTAACATTACGAGTTAGAATGAATACTTTCACTAATAAATGACATCAGCTATAATACAACGATCCTAAGATGCATATCTTAGGCCTTAGTCAGATTCATTATTCATTAATGTCTCCTTATTTGTTAAATGCTTTGAGATCTCAAGGTTGTTCGGGGGTATAACGCGGCTTACCCACATTTCCCGTTTTATACGTTCGATTTTGATTTCTACCTTTAATTTGCATTTGTTTATTCATCATGCTGATTTCATTTAGTAGTTGATGGAACTACTTTTTCCTAGCTACTGCAAAATGATCGTGATAAAATGCGTCTGTACCACTGAAGCGATTGTTCATTTGTGTTAATACTTCATTGAATCTTGGTTTTCTGATAAATTTACTCTGTCAAATTGTCCTTCGTACTATAATTTCCTGCTAGTACGATTATCGAAATCCAAACTTGATGCTTGCCGATTCTTAACGACACCGCTATGTTAGAGGATTAAGAGGTTCCTGATAACTTTGTAAACATTCTAAAATCCAAGTAGAAAAATGTGTCAAGTAAAAGAATAAGAGGATTTAGTTATCTGTTTTCGGTGTTTTACATCAGTCAAGCTCCTGCATTTCTGTTTTAACGGCATCAGTGATTATCTCCTAAAACAAACCAATAAGAAAATGTATTCAGGTCGAACATGGCTAACATAAACAATGACCGAATTCACTGGAATTACGGCAAATAGCTTACTAATATAAATTAAACTGTAGAGCAACACACCGCCCTTCACATACCTTCATATCCTCTAGACAAAACATTTTGAACATGTACTTGGATCTTGTAAGGCATAGTAAACCATACTTAAAGCTTTAAAAGATTTTGGTGTAGGAATCGTGAGTGACTGAGTTCCTGTTTCTAACTGCGTTTCTTTAGCATGACTCAAAGTTCGTTATTGATCTTGGATATTGGAGAAACACATTTGAGTAGAAGAACAAGGGTGCGTTATTAGTTTTATTGTTGTTCATATAATTGTTTCTTTACACGATCCAGTCCAACCAAGTATTAACCCTATTCTTTGAAAATTGGTACGGAAAACAGACTACACATCATACTAGTAATCGATAATCTGTTGGTCTAACCTGAAATTAAAAAATATAAGGACATCGAAATCAATAAACAAATTGACCTGTTTCTGTAAAATGGAAAAAGGATACTAATTCTGAGGTCATCACTTTAAAACTGATCTTGAATATTATAAGATTTTACCTAAATTCTACCTTTTATCATTATAACTTGCAAAGCGGGGCTAATAATCTAATATTGTTTAAATATGAAAATGGATTTTATGCATCACTTGTTTGGGCCAAATAAACAAGGCATTTTGTAATAATCACTTGAAAGAACGTAGTCTTCATGGCTCGAATAGTTAGCCTCAAGCATAACTGTAAAGTCTTAGGAGTACTTGGGCTTACTAATTTGTTTGACCGATCTTTATTAATTAATGGAGGATTCAAGTTATTGTACAGGAATTTCGATTGATATCAATATTGAAATATGCCTTAGTTAACATTTAAATTTTTTTCAAGCCGGAACATTATGTACTGTCGAATTATTCAAATGCCTACACTATGTCCTACTCTACATCTTACATATTGGTAGCAATTCCAGTCAACTCACTACACTTTTATAGATCTAATTTTTCTTAGGATTAATTGTAAATTAATTAGGTTTTATCTTAAAAATGTAATGATAAACAGTTCATATGCAATCATAATGAGACTTCGTGGGGATAACTAGTTCTGTGGTGAGTAAATTTTGCCAATCACTTTAAGATCTTGATCCAGATAGGTTATATGTCGTTCTTTTCCACTCCGTTATACTAAGAAAATACTTCGGTAATTAGTAATATCTTGTAACTGAATGAAATTTTTTTTAGTAAC